GAGCGGCCCCCACCTCCCCTCCGCACGCTCGCCCGGTTGCACCGACAGCCGGGAGGGCTCGGGGCGGGTTTTCCCCTCTCTCGCCTCCTGTCCCACAGCAGTAAACCCAGACGCTGCGTTTCCCTGTGCGTACGGCTCTTACGACTGTGGACGTTTGCCTGTGTGCGCGGAGGGAGTTGTTTCTGCGTGTTCACAAGCCTTTCTTCTGCCTCCAGGATAGTTATCCATTCGCAGGAGAAAGAGAACGCTGATCCAGATTATATTCCCATCAACAGCCGCTTCAAATGCGTACAAGGTACTGGCTCTCCTCAGGCGGGCTCTCTTCCGGTGGCGGGAATCCGCTGCTGCTCGCCAGCAAAACCCGGATTTAGTGGCATTTCGTGGCCTGGCTCCTGAGCGCCCAGATAGACTGAATGCTTCCCCGTGAAACTAAAACTCGCAGTTTATGGAATCCTGCTTCTTCCTCATCCGAGTGGGTCATCTTCCCGTGCCAGCATACAGTCATGAGGCGCTTGGCTGGTTCAGATGAGGGGTGGGCTTGGCATCATACAGAGCCAGCGCGTTCAGCACTGGTCTGCAGTGGCTGACCTTCGGTGTCTGCTGGTGTCTGTCTGTCTGTCTGCTTCAGAATGGCAGGAGCTGGGAGCTTTGGTCTGATTCCTGCATGTCCAGATCAAAACTTGTGCAAGGTCTGGCAAGCTGTTGGGTCCAAAGAGCCACCCATGGAACGGGAAAGATCTTGAGGCCTTGTCTGGGAAGAACTGAAACAGCAGTGTATGCCCCTGGGCAAAAGCTTGTTCAGCAGTAAAAGCACCTTTTCCTGGGTCAGCTTATACCCCTCTGTGTAACTCAGTGGGGTTCTGCCCGTTGTTACGGCTGTGTAGACAAGCTCTGACCTTCATTGTCAGGTTGGCCTTTCCCAAAGGAGCTACACTGCTGTGGAACAAACCATCCAGGTGTGCGGGAACTCTGAGTGTCAGGAATCGCCCCTGTGACGCTTTGGTTGTGGGAAATGGCTGTCCAAGCTGTCCAGATCTGACCATTCTTTCTGCCAGAGCCATGTTAGGAGCACAGATGTAAATTAAAGCTGTTTACTCCTTTGCTGGGGCTCTTCTGGGCTAGCAGCAGGCAGCATGCTTTTTTGAGTACTCGGTTACTGCAGCATTGTGTGAACTCTCTTGATCCCGTTTTTCTCTTTTCCAGAGGCAGAAGAGACTCTGCTAATTGACATCGCTACAAACAGTAAGTTTTATAACCGCAGTCACGTGGCTAAAGCTCCTTTCAGGAGACGGGCTGCCTGTTGGGCACTGGCTTGTTTTACCAGCTGCTTCACAATCTTCCTCCATGCTTCATGCTTGTTGTTTGATCAAGCAGGGGTGGTATTTCTTCTAATGTTGTTGTCTGGCTCTTCCAGATGGTCAGTTGTCATGACAGACATGGTCTGAGATGCCCAGACTGAGGTATCAGCAATTGGTCGAACTTTAACTTCCTAAATCTCTTCTCGAGGCCCTGCACTGTACTCTGAACCGTTCTCAGCTCCTGTCCGTTCCCTTGACCTGTACTTGAACCTAGGTTACTGTCGGCCTTTTGCAGTGTTGACAACGCTCTGTCTAGTCACTGGTTCTGCTTTCCCTTTCAACACATTTTTTGTACTACTTTTAGAGCTCTTCTCTGCGAGATTGCATTAGGGAGAAGTATTCCTAAAACCAGGAAAACATGACTGCTGATACCCCGAGGGAGGCGGGGGGAGGTCTCGGGAGCACGGGGAAGCTAGCTTAGGTGCAGGTCTCCATCAGAAACAATAGCTGGAAGTTGGCTTTCATCGATGAGCTGGAAGGATAGCTAGAAAGCCTGGTCACTCTCAGGGCATAAATGCGTGTGAACCAGCCTTGACTGACTCTGTGAGTCTGTGCTTGTGCCTGAAGCAGGCTGTAAGGTCCGGATACAAGGTGACGAGACAGCGGAGCGGCTCTTTGAAATCCCTGATGAGGAGCGTTGCTTAGGGTTCCTTTCAGAAGTGCAGAGCATACAGGAAGGTAAGCAGAGCTGTAGCTGCATCTGTGAAATCCTCTGGCTGGCAGCAGTTTCTGACAGGGCTGATTTTTTTTTCCAGCCCATCTGAAAGCTTCTCTTCCTGAGCCTAAGGACTCAGCCAGCTGGCATCAGGTGGAGAAGACCCTCCCAGGTCTATCGCAGGCCTCTTCTTCGGGTACTGGACTGACGGTCGCCTTTGTATGCTCTGTGGTCTGTACAGTAACGGGGCACGCGGGGACAGGGAGCTGTGTCTGACCCTGCACTCTGCAGTCAGGCCTCTGCCCCTTTTCCTCACTTCACATCGCCCTGCACAGCATAAAACATCTTGGTCCTCGGATTCTGTTGCCCTGGACCATTCATTCCTCCTTGGGCGCTGCCTGCGCCCCAGTGCCTTGCTCTGTGTATGTTAAGCTCCCTCCTGCCTTGACGTGTGGTTGGTACCCCTTGCTCTCATTCCCTGAGTCACCAGAGTTGATATGTTGCTATTATCATTTGCTTTTTCACTTTCTGTGAAGTTATATATTTTCCTTCTTAATCTGAGCTGTTTTAAATAGTTTCTCAGGGCATTATGCTTGTTTTTTTCATCATAGGAGCTCTGGGGTTTGAGGATGACTTCAACGCTCTAAGCCTAGAAGAGAAAAGAAACATGCAAAACCACCAAACGGGATCTCACCGGGAACCCCCACCTCCTCCTGTGCCTCAAAACAGGCAGGCAGTAACGCGGTGAATCTGTTCCCTTTTTTCCTTCTCTTCCTAGACAGCAGAACCAGTTTTAATTCTGCTCTTGCTTCCTGCCTAGATTTCACCGGGAGAGAGAAGGTACATCAAGAGACCAGCCAAAAGTGACCAACACTATGCGCAAAATGTTTCTGCCCAGCACCCAGTCGGGACAGAGAGAAGGCCTCATCAAACACGTGCTTGCCAAGAGAGAGAAGGCGTACGTCAACCTGCACAACTTCAGGTTAGAGCCGTGGCTGAGGAGCAGTGTGCATGGAGACCAAGCTGTTTACTCTCTGCTGGGAGCTCAAACCTCGCCCAGGTTTCAAATCTGACAGCTGCGTGGCCAGCGTGGGTGGCCGAGCGAGGGTCGGTGCAGACTGAAAGTCAAGAAGTGCCTGCAGTGCAGCTTCTCCTTTTGCATCTTTTGGGCAGAAAGAGGGTAAAGGCAGCTGTCCCACCACACTGACTTTGTGTTGCCCCACATGATGTGATGTTAAAAGAGCCAGATGTTCGCTAGCCCTGGTGAAATGTCTTTGGTTTTGTAGCATTCTGTAAAATCCCCGAGATGAGTGTCACTGAAAATGAGCCCAGCCTAGAAGGATTTTCGGTTACCCGTAGCTGGCCTGGCCCTGTGCATGGGCAGCTCGCGTGTAGTGTCCGCTCCCAGCCTGAACGCTGCTGTGCGTGCACTGGGAAGGCTGGACTGGTGGCGGTGTTTATTGCGTTTTCTAACGGTTCAGCGGCTTTTGTGTTGCAGTTTTTTTGTGGGAACGTGGAATGTGAACGGGCAGTCTCCAGACAGCAGCTTGGAGCCCTGGCTGGTGTGCGACGCAGAGCCGCCAGACTTCTATTGCATCGGGTGAGTAGCGATGACCGTATTTACTGACAGTGCTGGGTGTCTTGTTGGCTCTTGCTTGGATACTGGTGGGCTGTATTGATTTTAAGTTCCTGTCGTGTTCTCAGAGGTTCCACAAAGCTGAGCTTTGTCTCAGAGGAGCTGTCTGAGGTGAAAGAGCCGTTTGGGTGAGGCAGCGTACCGGGTTAAACGAGGGTGATGTGGCACAACAACGTAGATTTTGCTTGAGGCATCCACGGAGCTCTCTAGTTGTCCTGAGCCTAGAACAATACTTCTCAGCGAGGTGGTTGCAGGAGCGTGTTGCAGCAGGGTCTCGGAGGCACTGTGGTGAAATTCTGCTGCTTTATTTAGCAAGCGGGAATAAGGAGCTTCTCTTCCAAGAAGAGCTGTTGCTAGAGGTTTCACATTGAACCTTCCTGCAGAGAGGGAGTGATCTGTAGGAGAGGTGGGATCTGCTAAGCTGGCTTGGTTTCTTAGGTTCCAGGAGCTGGACCTCAGCACGGAGGCTTTTTTCTACTTTGATTCTGCAAAGGAGCAAGAATGGCTGGCTGCTGTGGAGAAGTCCCTGCACCCTCAGGCGAAGTACAAGAAAGTGAGTTCTGTTCCGCGCTGTGGGGTCTCGTCGTAGAGTTGGCGTGGTTGGAAGGAGAAGAGAAATTGGGCTTCGTCTTCACTCCCCTGACCCAAAGAGCGAAGACTGGAGAAACCAAGGATGCACACTTGACGTGTGTGTACCTGGGCATGTGTCAAGCATGCCAGATTCAATCTGGAGAGTCGATTTCTGCCCCACAGTCATAGGGGGATATTGTACTTTGAGGTACAAATTTACAAAGATGGGAATCAAAATAACTTTATAAAATATGAGGTAGGTGTCAGGGCAGTAGTGTGCTCAATACAGTCATAGCAGCGGGTTCAGATTCTTTATCTGTCTTACACCCTCAGCCTTGTGCTGTAGCAGCAAGGCGTGTCTTGAACCGGTAAATTAGATGAATAGCTCTTCCTTGAGGGAAAGGGATAATTTGTGAGGTGAAATCTTCCAGACGCTGCTGCCTTGGGACAGAATTGCTTCAGCTGGGGCAGCAGGACTTTATTCTGGCTGGTTTAGAGCAAGCCGTTGTTCTGTACCGCTGCTGCAGCAAACCTTTCTGCGGTAGGTACCCACCCCAAGCACCGGAACTAGTGTCCCCTTCCTCCTCAGCCCGTGTGTTCACGGTCACACCCTGGTCCTGCTTGCTCTGAGCTGCGCCCAGTGGAACCTGTTGCAGGTAATCGCAGCAGGAAAACGGGGCACCTTGCTGAACTGAGATGCATCGAGAGGGAGTCGGGGGTCGTGACCTGAGCTGCAGAGAGGCCCGTGTTCCCGTCCCTTTGCTTTGCTTGAGTTTTAGGGGAATTTCTCCCACCCTTCTGAAAGAGAGAGAACAAGATATGGCTGCAGGCAGGGGAAGTGACTGAAGCTGTCGACAAGACCTGCGATTGCGTGCAAATTCCACTCCTGCTGAGGGGACCAAGTACTTGGGCTCTTCCAGTTGAGTTCTCTGGTTTCAGCTTCTTCCTGCCCTGCGCAGACCTGATCCCAGCACATCTGAGTGTTGTGCCTCTAAAGTGAGCATGTAGACTGTGCTCGGGAAGATGAGGCCTTGTCGCTGGCTTGCAAAGTCGTGACCCCGCTGCTTCAAAGGTGCAGGGGGGTGCTGGACTGGGGAGTGCCTCGGCGTAGCGTGTGTGAGAAGATCAGCCACAGACCCAAGGACGCTGCTGGGACAGCGCACGTCAGCGCCGTGTTAACCCCTGTGGGTTGAGCTCTGCAGTAGAGGAGAACCTCTTAGCTCCAGAGAGAGACTCTCTGCCTTAGAGACCAAGTGTGTTCTGAAAAGCAAACAGTTTGTATTGCTTGGAGATGGCTCCCTTTTGATACCCCATGCCTCAGGCACGTTTACCTCGGGAAATGAGGACTTTTCTGTCCGTGCCCCTCCAGTTCGTGTCACTGGCTCCGCTGTAGCTCTGAGTAAGCAGAGGCGAGCACCGGCTCCCAGCGGGACCTGCAGCCCTAGCACCCCCCGGGGCCAGCCGTAGCCAGCAGCTCTCTGCGAGATGCCTAGCTAGAGCGCCCAGTGTCTTCCTCTGATTGTTTAGCGGATTAGAACAGAAGGCTGAGGCTTCACAAGCAGATCTGCTCCGTGTTGATTAAGTTTGTTACCTCGCAAGGCTGCCCTGTTTGTAGGGAAGCAGCAGAGTGGGGAATGCAGTGAGCTCAGCACAGCTGATGGCTGCTGGGGGATGGTAGATTGTCCTACAGAGCCTTGCTCTGGGACAGGAGGACTTTGGGTGGTGTTGCAAGCAGGGATTGAGTACAAAACATGGCGAGGAAGGGGGCGAGCCAGAGAAGCAGAATATCAGGCGGAGCAGGCGAATCAGAACTGCGTTTCCACTGCCTTTCTGGGAACTCGGGATCCCTTCTGCTTTTGCAGGTGCAAATGGTCCGTCTAGTTGGGATGATGTTGCTCGTATTTGCGAAGAAGGATCAGCTGAGCAACATAAGAGAGATCATGACGGAGTCTGTGGGCACGGGAATCGTGGGAAGGATGGTGAGTCACCGAGGCCAGGTTGTTGCTGCTGTGTATCCATGCGAGACATGGTGCAGTGTGGTTTTGTTCACCTCTCTGTGTCGTCCCCCTCTCCTCCCTGGTGCCTCCCCCCCGTCTTCTCTAACGACCGCCGATCCCGGCTCTCCCCAGGGCAACAAGGGTGGCGTGGCGGTGAGGTTCGTGTTCCACAACACGACCTTCTGCATCGTCAACTCCCACCTCGCGGCTCACGTGGAGGACTTCGAGCGGCGAAACCAGGATTATAAGGACATCTGTGCTCGGATGTGTTTTGTAACCCCTGATGAGAGTCTACCTCAGTTCAACATCATGAAACACGAGTAAGTTGATTTTGCATTTCTCCCCATCTGAGGTGATGTTGAACAATGCAAATCAAGTCAGAATCACAGCGACGGGAGGTTTTGTGCAGAGAAGTTTTCTGGCTTAATAATATAACTGAAAATGCCCAGGCGCCTGGTGTGCTGGCGCTCCCGCAGTCAGACAATGCGGTCACCTCCCCGCGGTGACGCATGCCACCAGTCACTAGTGGCCCTTTCCTGGCGTGGTGTGCGTAATGCTTCCGTTTAGCGGGCACCGTTCCCACGTCGATGGCTGAACGCTACAGGGCTGGAAGAAACGGAGGGGGTTTTTTGTGATGGAAAATGGGAGCAGGAGTAGGGGAAGAAGAGGGATAGCAGGATAGGCAGAGGCTGTGCTGTTTAGGCCTTTTTGAGTAACAAGCACTTACGATTGCTGTTTCAGTTTCTTTTTAAATGAATTGGATGATGCGCAGGCAATTCTTGATATTTTTATTATTATTTTTAATGAGGTTACAGTGGTGCTGAATAATCCAAGTCAAGCTGAAACATCTGTACAACAAAGCATGTAAATTAAGTTTTCTTAAACCTGATACAAATGGTTAATACTTCTGTAGTTAATATTTAAACCATTTAAAAATGGCAAATAAAATGTAAAGTGGATTAGTGCAGAAAATACTTCAAATATTCGATTATCCTTGATAATCCACTAATGGAAATGTTGAGGTTTGACTAGAAACAAGAAGAGTTTTGATACTAGAGAGGGGGTTAGATCTTAATCTTTAAATGAGACCTTTATGGAGTAAAGGGTGAATACCACAAGGGTTTCTTTAGATGCTCGTGATGAGAAGGCTGTAGGTCTGTTTGAAAGCCTGGAGAGGAGCAGAGTAAGAGGAGGTGCTGATGAGGTATGGGTAAGAGAGGACCGTGACATTCTGGAGGTCGTAAACTCAACAGGGACCTAATTCTGATTTTGCCAGTTCTGCGTCAGTCGGTCTTTGCTAGGTGGGTGGTACAGTAGTGGCCTAGTCTGGGTGAAAGGCAGGCAGTGGAAAATGAACTGGCAAATCCCTGGTGTCACACGAGGTGGGAGTGCACAGATACGTGTGCATCAGCCTGCCTAACTGGTTGACAAGCAGACTTTGCTTAACGAGCTCTGTCGTTGGGCTCTTCCGTACACGAGAAGAGCCTGAATGCTGGATGGATTTTGTGTGGCTTGAGAGGTGGTGAAGCTTGGTGAGATGCACTGGTTTCACGTCGTTAGAGAGTTGGTGGTGTTCTCAGGCTTTTCTCAGACTGAGGCAAGTGCAAGTATCTCCCACTAAATGAAGTCTTCAGTCCCATGTGGGATTCCAAAGGAGGTGGACTTAGCACTGTAGTATCTGCTCCCACTAGAAATTTCTGCTGTCACACTCCATTTCTCAGGTCTCCTTTTGTCTTCCATCTGTCTGAACCTTCATCGCCAGCGACCAACCATCTGTTGCCCTACACCCCTGCTTCCCTGGGTGGCCTGCGATACTAACCGCTGGCTCTTCTTTGCCATGTTTGTCTTTGTTTCCAGTGTGGTCATCTGGCTGGGGGACTTGAACTACAGGCTTTGTCTCCCTGATGCCAGTGAAGTGAAAAATCTGATCAGTAAGAATGAGCTGCAGAAGTTGCTGACATACGACCAGGTCAGTGAACTCCGCTTACGTTTGCTCCGTACTTGTGAGGTCGTCTTGGTTTAAGATGTGCCTGTGCATGGGAGCAGCTGGCAGACACGCTGCGCTAAGGGTCTGCAGACATAGATGCTAGGCCCTAGACCGAGCTCTGGATGTCCTGGTGACATCGACCCCCTAAAAAAAAATAGGTTGTACATTATACCAGGGCTGACGGGGTGGCTCGGGCAGTTACTGCGGACGTGTCTTTGCGTCTCATTGGGAGAGTTCTCTCTTAACGTACAAACTGCAAGCTGGAACACAGGCCTTTGTACCAGCAGCAGAAGCTGCTGTAATCGGTGTTCTGGAAGGGGTATTGATCTGGAGACCAGCGCTGGTAGCCAAGGCTCTCCGCTCAGCCGGTCTGACCTAAATCCTGTGCTGTAGTCTTCCCCGCGCAGCGTTTCTTCGCAACGCGCTGAAAGCCGAGACAGCACCAGATGTGCCGTTAAGATGAAGGATTGTACCGGTGAAACGTGAACAGAAGTGGTGTAATGCCATCTCTGACGCACGATTTAACAGTAAATCTGATTGATTCTGTTCTGTAGCTCGTTTCTGCTGGACTGTGGAGCTTCATGCAGAAAACAACTCTAGCTTAGATTTTTGCGAGGGAAACAGCTAGGAATTTTTTCAGAAGAGTAAATGAGAAAAGGAAAGTAGTGTCAGGTTGTCAGCCCAGCATGCTCTTGGAGGCTTTTGCTAAAATGGTTGGCAGTGAAATGTTAATGTTGGTGATGCTTACGCCTGAAAAGTAATGAAGGCATTTAGCAGAAGTGGAGCAATGAATATTTCCCTTAAATATTTTTTTATGCTGTCTGCATGGTCTGGTAAGCAGCACTGTGCCCATTTGTGCTCAGTCCGTTTAGAAAACGTTTCACTGATGTGTTGAATTTTTACTTCTGTTAGAGGTGTAGGGTCTGCGAGGCAGTGTGGGGCGTGTCGGGTGGGTCCCACGGCCACAGGTTGCAGTTGCTCTGCCTAGAGATCTGCTCTCTGACACTCGGCAGGGGAGGGGGTGTTGCTGGTTTGGGGTTTTTTTTGTTTCTGGGGTTTTTTTTAAGTGTTCTTTTTCTGCTTTAGCTGAATATTCAGCGCACTCATAAGAAAGCATTTGCAGATTTCATCGAGGGAGAGATTAAATTCATCCCCACATATAAATATGACTCTAAAACAGATCGCTGGGACTCCAGGTAAATCGGCAGCCAGTGGACTTGTTTACCTATGACATAAAAAGCATTTTCTCACAAAACTGGATTTCCTGCTTCCTAGAGCTGGAAATACCTCTCAGTGTTATGCTGATGGCTGGAGTGCACAGACAAGTTTGTACTCCTGCGTTTCCCCTACGTTCTGCAATAAGCAGACCCTGTGTATGTTGACCAGGCACGCGCCTTAAAGCTGGGCTGCGGCTCATTCCAATAGACGCAGGCAGATAAAGCGTGAACTCACAGGTGGCCCCGCAGTGGGGGGGGTTTCTGCTACCGGGGACAGACAAACGGTATAAAAGGAATTGAAGAGATAAGGAAATGCTCTCTCTGAGTCATCCTGTCCCCTGACTTGCACACCCGCAGGGGTGGCCGCGCTGCGATAGCAGCAGTGGTTCCTGCTTGCTACTCTCTGCCTGGTGCCTCCCACAGACATGTTTGCATCTGCTGCAGAAGCGTGCTCTAAATGGAGAGACCCCCAAGAAGGAGTTTGAAACCATACAGCGACTGGGTTTTACTCTGCCTGTGTTTGTGAACCAGCACAGTAGTTAATCTGGAGAAGGATAACCCCGGATTAAGATTTCATAACACAGTAGTAGTAGCTGAGTAGGCTTTCTGTAGTGGAAACAGTAAGCGATGGCTCAGATTGTAGTGGGCAGAACGGTCTGGCAGCAAAAGAAACTAGCGCAGCTTGGGTCACAGTACACATGGCTTGAGGTTATTTTGTTTTCTGATACTGGAAAGGGTGGGAATTTTAGCTGCTGTGTAGGAAAAGGGGAAGAGAGCAGAAGAAATAATGTAGTATTCAAGTTGTGAGAAGTGATAGGAGTTCATCCCATCACTGCTGATGCAGTTGTTGCCGGTGGGGGTGGAGGGAGCTGCCTGGCTGGGAAGAGGAGCAGCTTGGATGGCTTAGTAAGACTGTTGGATTTCCCTGGTAACCTGTTTTTCTTTGTAGTGGAAAGTGTCGTGTGCCAGCGTGGTGTGATCGAATCCTTTGGAGAGGAGGCAACATAAATCAGCTCCGGTATTGCAGTCATATGGACCTGAAGACCAGTGACCACAAGCCAGTCAGCGCACTTTTCCGCATCGGGGTAACTTTTTTGATGTGCTAGGGTGGGATCACAGTGTTGTCACACGTTCCTTCGGGAGGTGGTTGTACAGCCAAGGCACCTCTGCTAATGCTGTTGCAAGGGGACAGAGTAAATAGAAATCAGGCGTGTCCGATGTGTGGGTGTGCTGCCGGTGGGCAGCCGCGCCAGCCTGGGCTC